ACTTAACCAACTGAGCCACCCAGGCGCCCGAAGCAAATCTTTTCTTGAGTGAGAGATCTGAAATAGCCATGTAGATAAATACGTATTTTAGATAACTTTAGATAATGATTCATGACACAAAACAGAACAGTTAACAGATTTAAGGGTAGGGGGGATTCTCCCTAGCTATAAGGATAATCGAAGACTTCTTTGTACCTGAGCTAAAACCTGAACAAGCATAAGATTAAAAAGCCTATCTTCAGAAAAATGCAATGGTGGTAAAGTTACATATCTTTTTTTTTTTTTTAATTAGTTAATTTTTTTGACAGAGAGAGAGCACAAGTAGGGGGGCAGGAAGGAGCAAAGGGAGAGGGAGAAGCAGGCTGCCTGCTGAGCAAGGAGCCCGTTGCCATATGGGACTCCATCCTAGGACCCTGATATGATCTGAGCCCAAGGCAGTCGCTTAACCAACTGAACCACCCCCGCACCCCTTAAAGTTACATATCTTTGCACAAGCATTTGTTCTATTTGGGTCTTTAGTTTAGTGGTTTTCAAGTGAAGAAAGAGGGGTAAGTAAGTTCTCCAGGTGATTTTGCTTACCTAGTTTAAGATTTACTGTTTACCTGGGTAAGAAGTGCCATTGATAGGTCTCTCATCATTGATCCTGGGTATTTCACAAGCACATCCTCTTGGAATAGTGACAGAAGTTGTTACTAGAGAGATATATAGCTGGTTCCCCCCAAAATTTTCACAGTCGTTATAGCAAATAAGTAAATCCTCCCTTTTGAAATAGTATGATTATACACTTTATAACATCTTTTAATGAACATACTATAATTATATGCTATGAGTAAAACTAGTCAAATGAATTTGCCTAAGATCTGAATTTTATGATAAGAAGGTCCAATAATGTTGTGTAATGCAAATATATGTCCAAAAGGATATGGTATGCTTATGATCCTGAATGAATGAATGAATGAATCTAAGTGGTTTTTACACTTTCTAATTTATATTTGATTTTTTAGAAACAGTCAAAAGTCACTTTAAAGTCCAGCTATAAACTATATAATGGAGAAGAGTGATATCTAATAGCAGAATACCCGACTATCTCAATTTGAAACATATTGAAACTTATTTTCTCATGTAGTTCCCACTTTGTTGATTGGTTAGAAAACATAAATATGTTCAAAGACACACTGAAATTTAGTGACAACTAGAATGCAAATTTCCAGTGCCATCTCCTATTCAGTTTCTAATGTTTTGAAAAAGAAAATAAAGTGAGTTAACATTTAGTTTCTGACAAGGACATTGTTGATCAAATTAACTTTTCAAAATTTTAGATTATTTCAGTCTGTACACCTCAAAACCATTAGGTGATTTTTTTCTTTTGTTTTTGTGGATCAAGTCTTCTCTTTATGATCAATGCTGGACCAAGTGTATTTTCTTCCAACTCGATCATGTAAATTTTAGATCAGAAAAATATTTATACAGAAAAAGGCAAGTCAGCGAGAGCTGTTGGACATTAAATGATGTCCCAGTACCTCACTTTAATCAAATTCATTGCACATTCCCTGTTCAACTTTGATTCTAAGCATAGTTAAGCTCATGTCCTTGGTTTTTTTTTTTTTTTAAAGATTTTATTTATTTATTTGAGAGAGAATGAGATAGAGAGCATGAGAGGGGGAAGGGTCAGAGGGAGAAGCAGACTCCCTGCCGAACAGGGAGCCCGATGCGGGACTCGATCCTGGGACTCCAGGATCATGACCTGAGCCGAAGGCAGTCGCTTAACCAACTGAGCCACCCAGGCGCCCTAAGCTCATGTCCTTGTAACCAAATAAAATGAAAATCAACCTGTTTTTAAAGAGATGTTGTTGAAAAACTAATGATGTAATGTAGGGTGATTAACATAACATAATAAAATTGAAAAAATAAAAAATAAAGAGATGTTGTTGAACTAATGAAAGCAATGCAAATAACTAGTTTGACAAAAACAAAAACAAAAACCACACACACATACATAATGACCAGATGTCATCATTTGTGGGTAAAATATACAAATGCAAAAATGCAAAAGGAAACAAAATATAATCTTTTGTCACTGAAGGCTGTGACTATTTAATTGGCCTTCATTAAACTGGTAACAGGGACATGTCAGCAAACTTTGGAAAGTTTAAACAAACTGCATTAATTATAAAGCTATTAGAATTGACTTATCCATGCTGTTCAAACCTCTAAAACACACATTATGAATTATTTAATATACGCATTTCTGTACTGTCCTATTCCTCAAAGCTTCAGGTGATATAGTCTTTAGTAGTTAAGTTTTGAAGCAGGTTTATTCATTAAGGTTACATTGTAGAAGTTATTCCTCTGGGATCTCACTTCAGAACAGATATTTTGTAATTATCAGGTATTGCCTGTGCTTCCTTCAGTGAAGACCTCTCTTCTTCCCAAGCTGGACTTAGATAGCCAATGAAAGTCAACAGGAGATTACATCTTAAACACGTGTTATGAGCCAGGCAACATAAATGCATTTGTATCGCCATGCAATATAAAATGGATATACTATCGTCTCTGATTTGCAGATGAAGTGCAGACAAGTTAAGTAACCGGCCCAACATCATACAGCTAGTTAGTGGCACAGTCCGGGTACAAACTCAGCAGATATGGTTCCCAATCCCATATTCTGATTTTAGCACTACAGAATTCCCTCTCCTAATCCTTGCGTTGAAATTTCCTTACGTTGAAGCTTAAGGAATCATAACACGTGCTTTTTAAAGAAGAATAAATAAATATTAGATTTGGTGCTAAACCATCCAGGTTTTAGGACCATATATTATGTCTGTCATTTCTATAAGAAACTTAGAAATCATTTGGGCCTTAATAGAAAACTTTTTTAAAGATTATGATTTATTTGGGAAGATGCAATTGTTATAAATGTACTTAAAATTTATAACTATAAAAAAATATTGCAGCATATACATTTTTGTATGTAAAATTAAGATAATTTAATAAGGGGTGCCTTTGATTCATTAGTTATCAATTCAAACATGGTATTTTACCTAAAGCAGTCTATTGTAAACATGTAGCTATTTAGAACATTCTCAGAGTTGACCATAGTTGTTTATTTTTCTTGTTTTTTTTTCTTTTTCCCTCCTTTTGCATTTCTTAAAAAAAAAAAAAAACAGTAAAGAGCAGAGCAGAAATATTGCATTATCCCCAATAAAATTTTCCCTGAGGTAAAGTTTAAATTAATCGGTATAAGATTCTTAACTAATGTTACAATGGCTGCTCCTTAAAGAACAGGCATAATTTCTGTTGTGTGTGGGATTTTCAGAGCATTTCTAATGAATTCAGAGCATCATCTAATCACAGAAAGAATACTTCTTTGCAATCAGGAGGTTGATGTTCTCTGGCTTCTGAAAATACCTAAACGTGTTTTGTTCATTTGTTTCTTATGTGGCACCTCCTTTTTGGCATATCCTGTTGGCATTATCCCTACAGAGAACTTCCTGGAAAGCAAATCATTTTGTTGTGATCGGAAATGCTTTTGTCTGGCTTCTAGGTCATGCTTTAAACTCAGAACACATGGCAGAACTAAGCACACTATGTGAAAACGTCTAGTTATCGAACTCATGAGAGATCTTTTTGGTGTTTTTTGTTTTTTGTTTGTTTTTAAATGATGCAAAGTACTCAAGTTGCAAGTAGGACTGTATTTTACACGAAAGTCCAGTGATGTTAATTTTTGGCCAGAACTTGGAGTAGCTGGGAAAAATACCAAGAAAAAACAACTCTTATCAAAAGGCAAATTAGTTTCTGAAGCTGATGTTAATTGGCAGCCAAGGTGTTTCATTATGAAGCTGAATTTTTAACAGTTGTTAGTCGGTTACTATGAAAACACCAGCCAGAAGAAAACACTGTAGTGCAATGGGTATTTTTCTTCAATCTCTCCTAATCCTTCTGCCAACGTGTCAATAATATAAGGCTTGTTTTAAAACACCCACGCACTGCCTACAAATTGCCTGTGTCGGCTGTTTATTCAAACTTATTTCTCAATTAGATGCATATTTCATAATCAACGGGTTCAAGGATGATCACTTTCAAACTGCAGGTGTTGTATTTTTCTATTTTGCAATTCTCTGTTTGAATGAAACCTTAAGAAGACCTTATTGGGAGAACTGTTTTGTTGTTGTTGTTGTGTTTTTTCTTTGTAAACTAGAGCATAAAGCTAACATGGCAAATATATAAATTGTAACTAGGGAAATGATTCTTTTGGATGAAGCAATGAGAACTATGGCTTTTTATCTATGTGTACCTATTGCTGATTTTTTTTAAAGGAAAAACACCTGAGGGCCACAAGTTGCAAGTTCCAACTGTTTATTCCCCTCCCTAATAGTAAACAGCATGAAGAAGGTTTTTCTCCACACTTAACATATCCCAAGCCCCCTGGGAGTATGTATGCTTTGATATTTTTCCCATTCTGACATTTTACCAGCTGGCTAAAAAAAAAAAAAAAAAAAAAAAAATTGGTTTGCTTAGTGAGTCCTCAACCTATAGGCAACAAGTTCTTGTATTGTCCTGTCTGTCGTCAACCCTTTAACCTCTGCTGTATTCAGCATTTAGTTTTATGGTGATATACAGGGGGAAAAATCATTTTTGTGTGTGATATGATAAAAGTGTTGGTTTAAATTACTTGCCAACAGTTCTCCAGCCAAATAATTTAATTATGTGATTATAGCCTTATTGAAGCCTTTGCTATTGATTCTAAGAAGCAAGCATGGATCTATTTGTTGTCCTTCAGAACAAAAGCGGATTTTCCTCTTGCCTTGCAGTCTCAGCTAGGGCTTTAACAGGACACAATAATGAATGCTTCTGCTGCAGCATGTCACAGGGGAGGCTGGGACAGTACTGAACTCATGCACACCGCTGATCCTTGCTTGCTGAGCAACATGTACACCTGGATTTCTGACAGCTCTGTGAGTTCACTAGAGACCTCTGTCATTCTGTTCATCCTCTTGTAGGCAATGGTCGAGACAGTTAACAACCTCCTCCAGCCACAAGCCTCAAATGCATGGAGAGACCTGACTACAAGCGATCAACTACGGGCAGCGACCATGTTGCTTGACACTGTGGAGGAAAGTGCTTTTGTGCTGGCTGATAACCTTTTGAAGACTGACATTGTCAGGGAGAACACAGACAATATTCGTAAGTGGCCTTTGTTATACAGAAGGGCCAGAGACCCTTGGACAGCAGAAGAGAGGAAAGAAAAAATTTCTATGGTAGTGCAGATATTATGAGTGATTTCTATTTCAGTGGAAATGTGATTATTTTTTCTATCATTAGAAGGATATCACCTGCCATTGGCTTAAAAGTGTCCTCGTAATCCTGTGTGTTATCCTCCTTAGGATATTCAATATTGGATATGTTAGCCTGAGATCACTCAGAGTGAGGTCCTTTAGTTAGTTTTTTTTATGTCTGTGTGTATCTATGTATGCACTGTACTATTTGAAATTTTATCCTCCTAACATAGTGCCTATGGGTCACATCGGTTATGATAAGAATGTCTCTAAATGGAGCACTGGGTGTTATATGCAAACAATGAATCATGGAACACTACATCAAAAACTAATGTGTAATGTATGGTGATTAACAAAACATAATAAAATAAAATTTTAAAAAATGTATCTGAATTATGTACTATAAAGAAATCAGTCATTTAGTGAAGGCGATAAAACAGTTTTTTTGTAATTGTGTTATTGGTTCATAAGGAGTATAAATCTATTTTATTGTGCATAAGGATGTAGCTGACAGTTTTATTTCAGAAGATTTGATAAAGCCGTTTCAAACTTACCAGATTTAAAGATAGATCAATATTGATATAATAGTGCAGCTTTAGATTATAAAGAGATTTTTACTTAATTCACAAAAGAAAATAGTATTTTGAAGATAAACAAAGGAAATGACAAAGTATAAGGATTTGAGCTTGAATTTTAAATCTGAGGCTTTATAATTGATGCATTTCTGTTCTTATTTACCTGTTTAATAGTTTTTATTTGCTTTATTTTAAAAATAAAATACTAAAGAAATACTTTCAAAATAAAACATTGAACTACTATTCATTTTGACTACTATAAATTAATAGAACGTTAATTCCAGTGTTTTGATTTCAGAAATATTTCTGTGATTTAGGAAATCATCTTAGCTTTGGTGCATTTCTCAATGAGCACTGATAACTCTTTGCCATTAACAGAATTGGAAGTTGCAAGGCTGAGCACAGAAGGAAACTTAGAAGACCTAAAATTTCCGGAAAACATGGGTCACGGAAGCACTATCCAGCTTTCCGCAAATACTTTAAAACAAAATGGTCGAAACGGTAGGTTAGAGTTTATTTGATAAGCGTGGTGAGGTTGAGCTCGTCATCAGTGCCTTGTTTCTTGGCTTGGGAGTTTATATCTGCTATCCAAAAGCCTCTTTCTCTCATTCAACTATTCTCTCTCTCCTCTTCCTCTTCCTCCTCTTTCCTATCTTCTGCACCAACAACATCACAATGTATTTGCTCTATAACATTCTCAGTCAGATTTGGAAGTTCTGTTCCTTTTCAGTTGCAGTACAATGTCAGAAACTTGAATCTGAGAGGAATTAAAGAACAACAAAATCCAGATATCTGACTTTTTTCTTGAAAGGAGTAACTCTCACTGAGTTGACAGATTTAGTTTCTAAAATTTTTTTTTTAAGATTTTATTTATTCATTTGACACAGAGAGAGAGATAGCGAAAGAGAGAGATAGAGAACACAAGCAGGGGGTGCGGCAGGCAGAGGGAGAGGGAGAAGCTGACTCCCCACCGAGCAAGGAGCCTAATGCAGGACTTGATCCCAGGGCACTGGGACCATGACCCAAGCCAAAGGCAGATGCTTAACCAACTGAGCCACCCAGGCACACCTGGTTTCTAAATTTTTTTATGGAAATGTTACTTCTAATTTTAAAATTGTAGATTTTTTTCCTTACTATTTTTGAATGTGTTTCTATGATTTTTCTTTGTAAAGCATATAGAAAATTTAAAATGTGAGGCCATGATTTGAGAAAAAGGAACTGGTTAATATAGGTCAGTTTGATACTAGACTAAATTCACTGACTATAATGAGAATTAAATAAACCCATATTGAAAATATGTCTCAAATGTCACCAGTATTAAATTTTTAAAAGCATACTTTTTGCCAACTAAATGAGATCCTTTGACCTGTCAGGTGATGGGAAGATGGCCTCAGGTTGTAGCAACCAATTCAAAGCTGGTGTTTCATAGCGCAGGGGGCATAGTTTTAAACAAAGAAGAGCCTGTTGAATAATACGAAGACAAAACAAATTATGGCTGTTGCCAACAGAACAAAATTCTTTTTAAGTGTTGGAAATCTTTTAAGTGACCTTAAAAGTCATCATATTGCTAATTTGACTATGTGAATTTTGAGGCAGCAATAAGATTTTCTACGAAGCAAAATCCGATTTCTGCATTAGCTTTCCAGCTAGCTTCCCTCTCTCCACTCTTTCTCCCGACAGGATATCCTGTTGACAAACGAATCTTCCTGAAATGTAAATCTGACCAGTTTGCTTCCAGTTGCACTCAGAATGAAATCAGAGGATTACACTAGGCCACCACGTGCTTGTCTACCTCTTTCCTGCTCCACCTGCCCCGCTTCCTGTCTGTCTTCAGCATGCCCTCTATGATCCAGACAGTCTAGTCTTGATTCTTTTTCTCTTTATTGAAATAGAAGTGACATAGAACTTTATACTAGTTTCAGGGGTACAATATAATGATTCGATATTTGTACATATTGTAAAATCATCACCACAATAAGTCTAGTTCACATTTATCAGCACATATGGTTTTATTTTTTTCTTGTGATGAGACCTTTTAAGATTGACCTTCTTAGCAACTTTCAAAATATATAATACAGTATTTTTAACTATAGTCACTATGCTATATGTTACATCTCCATGACATTTATTTTATAACTGGAAATTTATTGACCTTTTTTACCCATTTTGCCTACCTACCACCCCCTGCCAATGGCAGCCACCAGTCTGTTCTCCATATCTATGAATTTAGTTTGTTTTATTTATTTTTTTAGGATTCCACATATAAGTGAGATCATACAATACTTGTCTTTCCCTGTCTGACATATTTCACTTAGCATAATGCCCTCAAGTTCCATTCATGTTATCATAAATGACAAAAATCATTCTTTGTTAATGGTTGAGTAATATTCCATTTTCTTTATCCATTCATTCATAAGGGGGACACTTAGGTTGTTTACATGTCTTAGCTCTTGTAAATAATGCTGCAGTGAACATGGGGTATGGAGATCTTTTTAAGTTAGTGTTTTTGTTTCCTTCAGATAAAAACCCAGAAGTAGAATTACTGGATCATATGGTAGTTCTATTTTTAATTTTGGGGGGACCTCCATAGTGTTTTCCACAATGGTATAACAATTTACATTCCCACCAACAGTGTACAAGGATTCTCTCTGGTCTAGTCTTGATTCTGTTCCTTGAATACACCAAGAGTGTTTCTTTATCAGATTTTTGCATTTTTGCTTTCTTCCTGGAATGCAGTTTTTACATTTCTTTACATTGAAGCTTCTCTATCATTCACTATTCAGTATAAATCTTACCTCTTTTAGGAAGGGAAGTTTTTCTCTGTCTCCCTGAAGATACACCATTCTTTCATTGCTCTTTTCCCATTAGCCATTTTATACCAGTGCTTCTTCATGGAGGTTATTCACTTAACATTATATGAAATATTATTATTATTATTATTATTTTTAAGTTGCCTGCTTATTATCTGACTTTCTCTCTAGGCAGTAAGCTCATGAGAGCAGGAATCTTTTCTTACTTGTTCACTGATACAATACTTGTGCCTAGCACATGGATAAACTTTCTAAGAATTTATCAAATAAATGTGTGAACTTTCAGATATAAAGCTAATGGCAATAAAATATGATTATATTAGTTATATTATGGTTTTTTTTTTTAAGATTTTATTTATTTGAGAGAGAGACAGAGAGCACAAGCAGGTGAAGTGGCAGGCAGAGAGAGAAGGAGAAGCAGGCTCCCAGCTGAGCAGGGAGCCCAATGCGGGGCTCGATGCCAGGACCCTGGGATCATAACCTGAGCTGAAGGCAGATGCTTAATGACTGAGCCACCTAGGTGCCCCAGTCATATTATGTTTTGAACTCATTTATTTTACTTACTAAAGTAGTGTGTGTGGGGGGGTGTGGGGGTGGTTTAGGTCACATTTAAGCATTAATTTTGGAGTGGAGAATATGTAACAATTATATGTGACTCGATGCATCCATAAAACAAGGGTGAGAGATCAACATGACACTGCCCCATAGGTGGAAATTGGTAGGAATTATCAACCAGTTATCAACCAGTTAAAATAACAGTTGTTACTGTCAAAAAAAAAAAAAAAAAAGATGTTCTTCTTAAGTTTTGCCTTCCAAAATTTAGTATTTTCATATTAAATCTAGAGAAAAGAATGAAAATTAAATGCGGTGTTGTAAGAGACAAGAAATATTTAGTGAATTACTGTTCTTTGCTCAGTACCATGTTAACATATGCGGGTTGGAGTTTAAGAATGCCCCTTTCCTTTATGTAGCTCTTATCATAGTCTCTTTGCTAAATTCCTGAAAGGATAATGGATGTCTCATAGAATCACTGAGAAGGCTGGAGAATCGGGCCCAGAAAGCCTACAGGAGCTAGGAGGCTGACAGAAGCCTCTGTCAACACACAGCATCATTGCGTGAGATGTCAGGGCTGCCGTAAGTGAGGGTGACTGCTGCCCCGCCCCCTGCTGTCACCAGCTCTTCACCTAAAGTCAGAGACGAGGGCATTTGATGGGAGGCATCGAGCTCAGGTGCTCAGAGCAAGACAGGCTGGGAAAGCAAATGTACATCCATTTTGTGTCTATAAATCCCTAATAGTAGGGAATTTTCCAAACATGGGAGCACAGTTTAGATGTTGGGACAGTCCCCCCCTCCTCAAAAGAAATCTATTAAAATTTCCTTGTTTTTATTCCCACTTGACCCTAAGATTTAGGAATAAGGATTGAGACTTCCTCAACTTAGTCACCATGATGGTCAGGACTGCACCTATCTCTTAGTGAACTGATATGATTTCATACTGGAAGTTAAGACATAGGGCTTGATGTATTTTAAGAAAGAAAATGATATGATCAAAAACACGATGCCTGGGTGGCTCAGTCACTTAAGCATCTGCCTTCTACTCAGGTCATGATCCCAGGACCTGGAATCGAACCCCACATCAGGCTCCCTGCTCAGCAGGGTGGGGTCTGCTCCTTCTTCTCCCTCTGCCCTTCCTCCCCATGTTAAAAGAAGGTTAATTTTACAGAAGATTGCAGGTAGGAGACAGTCATAAGAGAAAAAAATAAGGTGGAAAGATGTATGGAGGAAGTGACTTTCAAAGAATATGGTAATTGAGTTTGAAGACAGATAAGGATTTTGAATCCCTGTTGTTGTTTTCATTGCAATTGAGATATAATTTACATACAATAAAATGCACATCCCTTAAGAATGTGACTTGACGGATTTGACAGGTGTACATTCCTCTGTAATATTACATAAAATAAGACAGAAATCTCTCCTATTACCCAGAAATTGTTAACCCTTTCCAGTCTTCTTACCTCTTCTCCCCATCTGATGAAACTACTCTCATTACTATCTCCATAGACAAATTTTGCCTGTTCTTAGACTTCAGACAACTGGAATCATGTAATATGTGCTCTTTCCTGTCTGTATTCTTTAACCAAACACAGTATTTTTGGGATTCCATCATCATCCTCTAATAGTGGTTTCTTTGTTCTATCAGTAGTTCTTTATTGATGCATAGGCTATTGCATTATATTCATATGCCCTAATTTATTTGTCTATTGATACATTTTTTTAAGTGTTTCCATTTGGGGGATATTATAAGGATGTTATTAATCTTATACAAGTTTTTTTTTTCCTTTGTAGATATATATTTTCATTTATCTAGGAAGGGTAGATATGTTTAACTTCACACACAAAAAAATCACCATTTCTCCACATAGTTGAACTACTTTACATTTCCACCAGCAGTGTGCAGGACCTCCAGCTGTTCCTCATCTTTATCAATATCAGCATGACTAGTCATTTTGACTTTAGAAATTCTAGTGGGTAGGAAATGGTATCTCGATGTGATTTTTCATTTTTATTTTCATAAGTACTAATGATGCTGATAATTTTTCATGTTTCTATTAGCCTTTCACATATCTTTTTTTCTGAAGTATGTGTTTATGTCTTTTGCTATTTTCATGTGTTTTTCTTTTTTTGTTGATTAGCAGAAATGCTATATATAGTCAGGAGTCTCATATATATTATTGTTAACATGCTGTATTTTGATAGACACATTTTTAATTTTGATAAAGTGCAGTTTACCATTTTTTTTCTTTATGGTTAATGTCTTTTGGACCCTATTCAAGTCATCCTTGCCTACTCCAAGATCACAAAGATCCTGTATTTTGTTCTAGAAACTTTATGGTTCTGGTTTTTATGTTAGGTCTATGATCTGTCTTTAAGTTTTGAGTACAGAGTGATATAGGGATTGACATTCATTTTTTAAAATACCGATAGTTTTTTCAGCATCATTTGACATTCCTTTTCTCGTGAATATCTTGGCACTTTGGTTAAAATGAGTGCTTAATTTTGTTGAGAATATATACCGTATGGATTTGATTATAATTTAATTAGAGCTATCTAAATTAGGTGGAATGTACAAAGCAATGTACAAAGTTTCTTCCCAACTTATAATTCACATTTACATTTATTTCAGGAGAGATCAGAGTGGCTTTTGTCTTATACAACAACTTGGGTCCTTATTTGTCCACGGAGAATGCCAGCATGAAGTTGGGAACAGAGGCTATGTCCACCAATCATTCTGTTATCGTCAATTCCCCTGTTATTACAGCAGCAATAAACAAAGAGTTCAGCAATAAGGTTTATTTAGCTGATCCTGTGGTGTTCACTGTTAAACATATTAAGGTAAGAAAATGCCATGATAAGTGTAGTTATCCACATTATCTATATTTGTTACAGCATAAACATGGAATATATTAATTTTCCTTTAATTTTTTCCTACTATTTGACAGATAGCCATTCACTACCTATAAAATTATAGTGGTGATTTTTTTTTTTTCTAAAGTGAGGGAGGAGAATAACTCTTGAATATTTAAGTGCTTCCTATAAGAATATTTGTAGATGGATTTATAAATGTGTCTCCATAGTTAAAAAGAGTTAGCAACATAGTTAGTGGAATTGGACATGGCTTCACATATTTTTATGTATGTACGAAGATTGTATTATAAATTGAACAAAGATTTCTAAAGACTATCTCAGAAATTGTTTAGAGTAATTAAATTCTTTATGATGTACTTTACTTTGAAATTGGTTGGTCATTCTGAGTCACTGACACTAGCATTCCATTAATACTAATTTTTTAAAAAGTAAACTCACCTCTAATCAGAGGAAATACACAGCAATATAAACTCAAATTTGCTTAGGCTTGATGAAGCCCACTTAATATGAAAAGACTGGTATACATCTCCACAAAAGTTGGCACGAACTGTGAAGCGTGTTAGATGTAAAGAAAATGCCTATCTAATTTACGTGATCGTAAAGTAGTTATTGGCTTTATTGATTTTTTTTTTCCCCATAGCAGTCCGAGGAGAATTTCAACCCTAACTGTTCATTTTGGAGCTATTCCAAACGCACAATGACAGGTTATTGGTCAACACAAGGCTGCCGGCTCCTGACAACAAATAAGACACACACTACATGCTCCTGTAATCACCTAACCAATTTTGCAGTACTGATGGCACATGTGGAAGTTAAGGTAAGATAAATACCATAAAATAAAGTTATCTAAGCATAGGCAGGATATTACTGAAAAAAGTCCTAAGTCCACAGGCCAGTCTTCCTTTAAAGGTCTTCCACTTTCCTGGTAATTTTGTTCAGAAACTCTCTGGGGTTCAACCCATACCTTCCTGGATGATTCAAAGAAAACTTTTTTTTTGTTCTGTTAGCAACATAGTTCATAAAATTGCAGTTCACTTATAAAATAAAATTGTTCTTATAAAAATTCCCCTTAGTGGGAACCCTCCTACACTGTTGGTGGGAATGCAAGCTGGTGCAGCCACTCTGGAAAACAGGGTGGAGGTTCCTCAAAAAGTTGAAAATAGAGCTACCCTATGACCCAGCAATTGTACTACTGGGTGTTTACCCCAAAGATACAAATATAGGGATCCTAAGGGGTAGGTGCACCCCAATGTTTATAGCAGCAATGTCCACAATAGCCGAACTATGGAAAGAGCCAAGCTGTCCATCAACAGATGAATGGGTAAAGAGGATGTGAGATAGATAGATAGATAGATAGATAGATAGATAGATAGATAGATAGATAGATAGACACAGTGAAATATTATGCAGTCATCAAAAAAAAAAACACGGAATCTTGCCATTTGCAATGACGTGGCTAGAACTGGAGGGTATTATGCTAAGTGAAGTAAGTCAGTCAGAGAAAGACATGTATCATATGATCTCACTGATAGGAGGAATTCTTAATCTCAGGAAACAAACTGAGAGTTGCTGGAGGGGTGGGGGGTGGGAGGGATGGGGTGGCTGGGTGATAGACACTGGGGAGGGTATGTGCTATGGTGAGCACTGTGAATTGTGTAAGACTGATGCATAATCATAGACCTGTACCTCTGAAACAAATAATACATTATATGTTAAAAAAAAAAAAAGATAGTAGGAAGGAAAAAATGAAAGGGGGAAAATTGGAGGTGGATACGAACTATGAGAGACTATGGACTCTGAGAAACAACCTGAGGGTTCTAGAGGGAGGGGTGGGGGGATGGGTTAGCCTGGTGATGGGTATTGAGGAGGGCATGTTCTGCATGGAGCGCTGGGTGTTATACGCAAACAACGAATCATGGAACACTACATCAAAAACTGATGATGTAATGTATGGTGATTAACATAATAAAAAAATTGCTGGATATTAAAAAAAAAAAACCTTAGTCTCCCCTTGCTCTTATTTCATATGAATAAAGGAGACCACATGAACAAAGCAAGGTAGGACCCCAGGACCAAAGGCCAGTGCAGTAGGGTTAAGAACCAGAATCCCAGACCCTGGGAGTAAATGCTGCCCAAATGACTCTTTGAAAAGCACCTGTTAGCACAATAAACAATGCCTGGTGATGCAAAGAGCTTAGTAAATTCTAATATAATGTAATGGGTTTTTTTCATTCAAGAAAACCCTACTCTAAGGAAAAATCTAGGTGATAGGAAGTTTCCAAAGTCAGACACGCAGCTAATTTGGCTGCATCAGTCTCCTCCTGGCATGACTCCGGCTGCCACGAGTGGGGGAGGACATGAAGAGGATTTAGATTTCAGATATATTTAGGACATAAAAATACAAAAGGCTTAAAAAAATACAAAAGGCTTATTATCTTGTTTATAGGGATTGATGGGTTAGTAACAAGAAATTATATACTTGTAAATTCTCTTATCTCTTTGATGCCCATAAAAAGAGGAAGGATTACTCACCAACATGTTTTCAGAAGTGAAAACTGCAGCACAGGTTTTATCTACTTGGTGTCATTTTTCCAAATAAGTTCATCCAAAATTTTCCTTGACACTATTGAATTTAGATGTAGTGTGGGTATCCCAGAGGGAGACCAAATCCAAACCCTGTTAGCACCTTAACAGTAAATTACCTTAGCTGTGTCAGCACAGTTTACATTTTGGTCTTTAATTTAAAGGACTACATACCCTATTTTGTCAGAGCATCACAAATTGATGTAGTTTTTTTTTTTTTTTTAAGATTTTATTTATTTATTTGAGAGAGAGAGAGAGAGCATATGAGAGGGGGGAGGGTCAGAGGACGAAGCAGACTCCCTGCCGAGCAGGGAGCCCGATGCGGGACTTGATCCAGGGACTCCAGGATCATGACCTGAGCCAAAGGCAGTCGCTTAACCAACTGAGCCACCCAGGCGCCCTGATGTAGTTTAACAAGACTAGCTCCGCTAACCAATGTTAGATGTCAACCTGGAATGTGTTAGTGTGGCTCTGGGATTCTATTTTTCCATTTAGGGAATAAATTCAAACTCAGAAAAATGGATCATATTTGAAACAACAACAAAATACCATTTTTTCCTGCAGGCATGGCATAGCACCCTCGACTCGATCCATTAGATAAGAATCCCGGCTATGACCATTATTGCATGCCAACAAGAGACAAAATAAATGCAAATCAGTATTTCCCTTTAGCAGTCAGTCACACAGCATGGATGTCCTGGTTTTCTGTACCATAGTCTCTTGCAATTGCCAGTCAGCCACATTTGGATCTCACAGCATGGTTTTGGCACTTGAAAAACAGAAAAGCAGACTGAACACTACAACAGGTCCGAAAAGAAACGCACTAACCAAACTTACGTGAGACTAATTTCTAAAACAGAACCCCAATCTATTTGTGCACAGTGAGAAAGACCGCGACCAGTTGGAATAGATATTTATTGTTTGCTTGTTGTCACTTTCTAACTCCCCAGGAAAATGTATGAAGGAAACAAAATTATATTGGATGGTTTTTCTTGATGAGCCTGGAAGGAGAGCGAGAGGAGTTAGCTGAGTAATGTGAGACCCGTTGCCATTTAGCCGTGGTACCTTGATGCATCCGTCTTCATTCCAGGCTCTACCTGTGTACTGTACCTCTGTCCTTATCTATCATCCGTGCTTCTCTGCCGTTCACTGAGCACCTCCTTTGTTCTTTTATCAGCATTTTTGAGTATTGTAATTGAGACCTGCACTGTGATTTTGCAATGCAGAGGAGGATCATCTATTCAGGCAGGGCTGTTCAGAAAGGTTCTTAACAAAAAATTTAAAACGTCCCATTCTGAAGGATGAGTAGGATGTATTTAGCAAGGCAACGTGGAGAATTTGCACTGACCATATTCTTGTAACACTTTCTTCGCTTTGCCTTGGGTATACTCCTCCCTCTTGTTTCTTTCCTTCCTGTGCAGCTGGTCCTTCTTAGCTTCCTTTTTTGGTTCCTCCCCATCGCCATGACCTCTCATTGTTGCTCCAGCCCAAAGTATAATTAGATCTAGTATAGGCATTATCTGTTCTTTGTCCCGAGAGGATCTCATATAGCCATATGGCTCTAAACATCTCACGATTCCCAGATTTCGATCTCCATTTTTTAACCCCAGACTCATAGATTCAACAGCTGACTTGTTATATCCACTTAGGCTTCTAATAAGTATCTCAATTCTAGAACTACACTTTTGGTATCCTCCCACCTGAGTCTTCTTAGTAAAGGGGGCTGCTCTGCCCTTCCAGGTACTCAGGCCCTAAGCCCTGCACCATTTTTTATTTGTTTCTTTTTGCTCATACTGCACACCCAATCCTATGAGCATTTGCTGCAAGATCCAGGATCTGACAAATTCTCAGCATCTTCATCACTACCACCTAGGTTCCAGCCACTGTCCTCTGGCCTTCACTTTCTAGTTATAGCCCCTTAGTTGTTCTCTCTGCTTCCTTTGTGTCCCTCCTAAATTTGTTCTCAGTAGAGTTGCGAGAGGGGTACTCTTAAGATATGAGTCAGACCTTCTCCCTAGTCTGATTCATTCTCAAAAATCAGCTCTGTAATCCCTTTAAAATGCATATCAGGTACTTCATATCTTTGATCCAATTTGAATAACTCCTCTCAATAAGAGCAAATCCCAAATCTTGATCTCTTTCGCATCTTTTGACCTCCTTTCCTGCTATTCTTCCTCTACCACACTTGGCTTCAGCCATGACAGGCCACCTGCCTTTCCACAAACACATGAGGTATTAGTTAGACCTGAAAGTCCCCCTCCTCCTACCCCCCAAACAGCCACCAGAGACAACTTCCTCATCCCCTTTAAGTCTCTGCTTCACTGTCACCTTCTCAAAGAGGCTTACCCTATCCACTCTATTTAAAATTTCAGATTACTCCACTCCCACAAAATACTGTGAGGAGCAAATAAGGCAAAACAATTTCCTGACCTTGGGGAATTCATAATTTACCAAGGGAGAGAAGGACTAAGACTGATTTTTGAATGGGATGGTAAGAGAGATTTCATAATTTTAAAGAAGAAAAATTCAACTGAATAAGTTTGAAGAGCTAATTGGCGTTATTAAGGGATTCATGAATGAGGCAGTGTCCCATCTAACAAGTAGAGGGGAACTCCAATGATTTGTACAATATGGAAGGTTTTTATAGGAGAGGGTAGGACGAGGAAATTATTAGCAAAACAAAGGAAAGGATTGTTTCAGGCAAGGTCGCCTTCCCTTGGGGGAAAAGTAAGGGGTCTTATTAGGTGGAATTACCTCATCTTTGGCGGGATGGAGAGGACGCATGTGACAGATTACCTCATTGGTGTTCATCAGAAAATTCCTGACTGGTTAGTTAAGACTTACATTTGAAACTGCAATTGGTGACTTGGCCTGAGTGATGCCATTTTGGGCCTGTGGTTTTCTTTTCAACAACAGCTAGGTCCATTTAGGCAGGTTAAAGAAGGAAGCAGATGCTTCTACCTAAGGTGGCAATTTAGCTGGTTAACTACTTTTGAGTTCACTGTACTTCTGTTTCTAAGGAAACATTTGATTGTCTTTTCTTTTAGACACAAAAGTAATCATTTCAGGGGTGCCTGGGTGGCTCAGTCCATTAAGAATCGGACTCTTGATTTTGTCTCAGGTCATGATCTAGAGTCATGAGATTGAGCCCCACATTGGACTCCACTCTCAGCAGGGAGTATGCTTGAGATTCTTTTTCTCCCTCTCCCTCTGTCCCTCCCCCTGCCCAGGCAC